AAAAAATGCAAAGCCGCTTTCTATGGTCTTAAAAAAATTTCCAAACTATCCCACATCCTTGATAAAAGTCAAATGGAGAGGCTTGTCCATGCCTTTATAACTTCACATCTTGACTACGGAAACAGTCTACTGTATGGTCTTCCTACCTATCAAATTGAAAAATTGCAATCTGTCCAAAATGCTGCAGCACGACTACTGACCAAAATCCCTCTCAGATCAAACATTTCACCCATTTTATTCGAACTACATTGGCTTCCTGTACGACAGAGAATTGTTTTTAAATTACTGTTGTTTGTTTTTAAATTCACTAGAGGTGAATGCCCCTCATATTTTAACTCGATGCTACATCCAAGTACACCCAGTCTCACCAGGTCTACCAGATCCACCTCCACTCCTTGTTTTATCAGAAATGATAATAAAAAAACAACCAAAACCTACGGCCACAGGGCATTTTCAATTTCAGCACCAATTTTATGGAATCAATTACCCTCACACATTCGGACTATTGACAGTGTTGAGGTTTTTAAAAAAGATTTAAAAACATTCTTATTTGCACAGTATTTTAATTAATATCTTCTCATTTTATCAGAAAAAAAAGTTTTACTGTTCAGACCATTACTATTTTAACCAGTTTTAATTATTTTAATTGTTTTTTTTTTACCTTTAGCTTTTATTATATATATAATAAGTTGTAATCCTAATAATTTTACCTGTAAACAGCACTGAGACGCTAGTGTAGTGCGGTTTTAAGAAATAAATATTATTATTATTATTTATTATTATAAACGTACATATTACCAATACCAAGATCGCAACTTCTTAAGGGGTGGGTTTATCATACCTGGCGAGGGTGTTGTTGGTGTATTAGAGGTGCATCTGACACCGGCATCTTCATGATGTCCACAGTTGTGAGTTCCCCAACCGTTGTGGCTGCAGTCATCAATAGAGGCCTCATTTCCATTGCAGTTAACGTTGTCCATGTGGATGGAGCCAGTACCTCGGCCAAACGCAGCCCTACTCAATGCAGTGGCGTCGGCGGTGCTACAGTGACAATCACGATCTATCGTTAACAATGTTCATCTTCAAATATACACACACACAAACGCACGCACGCACACACGAACAAGTACACACAACAGAGAGGTCACTAAGATACTTTGCTTCGGTGTATAAAATTTCACTAACATGCTTTGAATGAAGACCTTGGGATGACAAACTGCCCTACTTATGATTTTCGAGAGGGGGGGGGGGCACATGTCGCCAATGACGCCGAGGAGGAGAAAAGGGTACAACGTCGGCTGTGTCAACCGCCGTTAGTAAATTCAGTTTTTTATTTTCTTAATTTATGCATAAATGGACAATGGTTGCTGAATAAATGTCCTCCGGGTGCCATCATTACAGTTTTTAGTTTTAGCAATGAATACCTAAACTGTACCACTCTCCAAATTAGCAAATCAATATTCAGATTTTAAAGCACGTGAAATTCTTAAAGGTGATTGAATCATCTTCGGTTGATGAAGAAAGGACAAGTTTCAAGGTATATAATTTCCTTGCAAGATACATCATTGCATAAAATAGGTTACTTCACAACTCGCACCAGTTTTCATTATCTATCACTATTAGTATTAAAAAATGTCATCAACCAGATTAACCTATATGTGTATGAAGTGGAACGCACAGTGTCAGTTGAACCGTTATTTAATATACTTACCCGTAACCAAGCATTCTGCAGACAACAGCAGCATCGTTGACATCCCAGCCGTCATCACAGACAGTGCCCCATTCGCCGTTATGGAGGACCTCAACTCTTCCTTCATCGTCACGATCACCACCCACCAATCTTACTTCAACTGCAAGGAGATGTGGATGACAATCAGCGAAAATGCACGTAAAAATTATCATTTCAGTTCATAATAACAGTCGTGTGTAGGATGTCAACGATCTAGATTCAAAAAGGGGATTTTTTAAATAGCTTATAGAATAAAACTGTCCTTTAACCCACCAGGCAGTGCAGGAGTAGGTTCAGCAGCTACACAACTGACACCAGCATCCTCAGAGTGAGCACAGTTGTGTGAGCTCCAACCGTTATGTCCGCAAGCTTCGATAGAGGCCTCGTTTCCAGAGCAGGCGACATTATCCATAAGGATGGGATCAGTACCTTGACCGAAATGAGCACGTGAAAAAGAAACGGCGTCGTCGGGGCTGGAAGTTCAAATGTCGAAGTCAAATATTGGTATATGTACTGTTGGTAGAATGTCCCAAAAACCAAACCAATAACTTTTAAGGTTGGTGCTTGTTTAGCCGGTGACGACAACCCTAGCTGTTATCATTATTTGAAACTGCCCAATGTTAAGTGATGGGCTTAAATAGTTATTTAGTAAACATGATATCTTTTAAAATATATATTTACCTGTAACCAAGCATTCTGCAGACTACCCGGGCATCGTTGTCATCCCAGCTGTCATCACAGACAGTGCCCCATCGGCCATTATGGTGGACCTCAACTCTTCCCTCACCGTCATGATCGCCACCCACCAATCTTACTTCAACTGAAAATCAGTACATGTATCTTATTTGATAAGATGAGATGCCTCATAGGTATTCAGATTTTGTCTATTCATATCATTAAAATGCATCACATATAAATAGAATAATAAAATGACTTCTTCCATTACCAATGTGGCACACATCTACTTAAAGAGGGTTTATCATACCTGGTTCACCAGAGGTGCATCTGACACCGGCATCTTCATGATGTCCACAGTTGTGAGTTCCCCAACCGTTGTGGCTGCATTCTTCAATAGAGGCCTCATTTCCATTGCAGTTAACGTTGTCCATGTGGATGGAGCCAGTACCTCGGCCGAAATGGGCAGTACCATGAGCAGTGGCGCCAGAAGATCTAAATGAGCAATTAGAATGTAAAACACTTTAAACATCTGTTCAAATATCAGATAATGTTGAAATAGGACAACTACATTTTTAATTTTCAGATCAATATTATGACCCTGATATCTTTAAAGAATTGAAACAATACTTACGAGAAACCAAGCATTCTGCAGACCACCTGGGCATCGTTGTCACCCCAGCTGTCATCACAGACAGTGCCCCATTCGCCGTTATGGAGGACCTCAACTCTTCCCTCACCGTCATGAGTACCACCCACCAATCTTACTTCAGCAGCTAGTAAAAGTTGCTTACGATTATTTATTATTTTCGTTCAATTGACTTATTATTTCAGATATTATCTCATCAAACATTGCATGATAAACTCATTATGTCACCACAGTTTTAATTTCCATTTAAAATACATTCTGTAAATACCTAAATACCTACTAAGTAGATTACAGTTAATACAATTACATAGATCAAAACATTTCTTAAAAGCAGATGTCTGCAAATATTGTTTCTCTTTTTTAACCTACATTTGATTTAGCACAGTGTTATGATAGGGTAATGTTTTGGTCGTCTTATAAAACCAATGAATTAATAAAATACTAAATTCATCATAATGTGCAAAAAATTAATGTTTTGTTCTCTATTTTCACTAGTAGTAGAGTAAAATTAACAGGCGATTTAAAACCCAAAAATCTTTGAATCAAATTAACCAACAATATTAATTTCAATAAGAAATTTCATTTCGAAGGTTTAAACCTTAAAAGGAACAAATTATCATTTCATAATCATTTATGGAACTTAGTGTACATGAACTTACTATAGCGTCAAATACACGTATGCTATATTGGTTATCATATTTCTCTAAATATTAAACTTATTATTAATACACTTCAATAGATGTGCTGTTTGAACATGTGTTACAATTCCATGTTTAGCAGACCTTACACTAAGGGATAGGACAGAGGTAATTTTACATGTATAGCAACATGATGGTATACATACTGTATTCCACTGCACTGAGGTGAGATACGACTCCCGCCTCTGCACTAGATTTAAAGGGTTAATAACTCTTTGTATGAGGTCTTTATTTCATATTAAAAACAATGTCAACAACTCACAGAAATATGATATATTCTGTTTTACCACAAAAACTGATATCTGGGCTTGTCATCGGACCACGTGATGGCTATACTCTGTAATAATCTCTTAAGAATCTCTTTACAAATGAAAAAATAAATAAAAAGGGACTAACTTTTAATGTAGAAATGGATTAATAAACCATTGGTACATGTAAGTATGGGAAAATTGTTGTTTACTCCAGGAAAATTCATTTTTTTTTGCCAAAACGAACAGTTATCCTCCCTTTAACTGAAATTTACTCGCAACACAATGGCATATACATGTGTAATTTCTATGACCTAAGCGACAGGTATTTTAATATCTTCTAAATCATTATTTTCAGGTACAAACTTACGAGTGCTGCACCGAACACCGGCATCTTCCGAGTGTCCACAGTTGTGCGATCCCCAACCTCTGTAGGAACATTCTTCCAAAGAGCCTTCACTGCCAGTACAAGCCACGTCGTCCATGTTAATGGAACCAGTGCCTTGGCCAAACGTAGCTCTACTGAATGCGGTGACTGTGCCGGTGCTACAGTGACAATCATGACCCATCGTTAACAATGTTCAACTTCTACACACATGCACAAACACATGCACGCGCACACGAACACGCACACACACCGGAGAGCTTCACTAAGATACCAGTACTCTTCTATACAAACTTCACTAATGATTTGAAAGAAGCCATGCCCTGCGGATGACAAATGGCCCCACGTGTAATTTCTGGTGTTTGGGGGGGTGGGTATCGCCAATGGCGCCGCAGGGGGGAGGGGGGTACGATCGCCGCGAGTAAAATTCAATTCATTTTTTCTTTTTTTATTTTCAATATGTGCACATATAGATAAAATTGGCCGGAAAATTGTCCTTCAGGTGCCATAATCACACAGTTTTTAGTCTTAGCAAGGAATGCCTACCCCTCATCAAATTAGTCGGCCATGATCTGATTATAAAACACGGGGTTTGTTAAACACTCCGGGAATTTTTAAGGATGATAAAAGAACAACTTTGGTTGATAAAGAATTGTCAAGTTTTAGGGTTTCTCTGCATGATACACCATTACATCTAATGGGTTATTTCATAATCCGCACTTGTTTTCATTATACATCACTGTAAACAAACGTCATCAACCAGATTAACCTATGTGTATGAAATGGAATGTGTCAGTTAAACCAATATTTGACATACTTACCCAAAACCCAGCATTCTGCAGACCACGGTAGCGTCGTCGGCACCCCAGCTGTCATCACAGACAGTGCCCCAGCTACCGCTTCCCTGACGAACCTCGACGCGTCCCTCTCTGCTGTTGGTCCCGCCCACCAGCCGAACTGAAAAGAAGTCCAAAGAGAAGATTTAAATGGAAATAATAAGGTTCATTTTATTAACATTCATATATTACTGTTGCCAACAGTAGTGTCGGCAAATTTATTTTTTGTTTTGTTTCGTTTGTTTGTGTTGTTTGTCTTGTTTGCTTTGTGTTGTGTCGTCTTGATGTGAGTGGCCCATCATATTTTGGATGATTGGTGTTCTTTTGAGTGGTAATTAAACGTCACCTTGTATTGTCATGGTTGGAACACGCCTAGTCATGTACGCGAAAGAGTGGAGGCAGCACTGTACGTATTTTAGTTATTCTATGTATGTGTTTTATTGTAATTTCTTCATTGTGATATTTGTATTAAGTTGAAATTTATATTTGTTTATTCTTTTAAAGAATTAAATAATTCTGAAGACTGGAAGCACCATGGTTCGCTAGGAAATATTTTATATTAATTGTTCACCTTTTTCGTTATATTCAGTCTTATTTGGTTGACCTCAGCACTTCTCTCAGCTGCGGCGATGGATCTCTCTCGATTTATTATTTTTGAATAAATAAATAATCAAATAAAAAAGATAAGTAAATAATTGTTTCATCACTGTGGTTTTACTCAATAGGGCCTACTATTTGTTTACGTGTAACAGCTGTATCAACATGTGCTCAGTTCGTTTTTTGATAATAATAGAAGACAAATAAATTAGCACCGGCTGTGATGTTTTCTTACTGAAAATTCAACAGAAAAATATTGACTTGTTTTTAAGAATGCATATCTTAGAGCGTTTTAATTTATTTTGTCTGTTCGCTTTAGCGGCTACTAATTAACTTGCCAAAGCGTGCAGTGAAAGAAAAATTACATACCTGTGGATATTTGTATTCTATTAAAAGGTACTACATGTATTAGCAACTTTCTCTTTCTCATTTCTATAACAGTTGCATGAGTCCAGTAGTTGATACACGATACATAATAATGGTGATCTCTGTTTATTTCAACTCACAACAATTCGATTGTGCAATGTTATCATGTTGTTATTATACTGGCATATATTTAAAACCTGATAAATACTTTTTCTCGCCATTTATTTGTCTTTATGGGTCTGTTCTGATCGAATAACTTTTATATTTCTTGGAAGAGCATATAACAAACGCAACGGCATATGTGGCGCTTGGACTTGTCATGAACAATTACCAGTGCTACCATATGACTACCATTTTCATGTCGTTAGGTGCTAGCAAATTCAAGGAGAAGACGTCTTTCTTTAAAAACTAGACACATCTATCGTAAATAAACATTATCAAAGACAAGCCGAAATATTTTCATACCGTTTGCTTACGGCCAAACTGGGCGAAGGCTTTCATCAGACTAAAGTGAGTAGATGTTGATACTCACTGACCGCTAGGTGGTATATATAGCGGCCAGCAGCCTTAAATTTTGTAAATAGCGGATAGAACAGATCCATAAAGACCAACAGACGGATCTACTTCTATATTTGAGTTAATCTATGGCGCCATGACAACTGGCATTGAGCTACTGCTACCTTACCTTGTATTGGAGCTGGAACAGATCGTGCTTGTCGCTTTATACCCCGTCCATGGCAGTACCTGAATAGTTAATAAAAAAATGTGAACAATGTGACAGGTTGAAAATTCGGGTCAGGTGTGGTCTTCCTGATATGTTTTTAACGAGACAAAATTGAAGCAACAAAAACTGACGGATAA